ACCTAAGATATAAAAGTTATTCTTGCTTTATTTCATAGATATTTATTTGAATTTACATTTACAAATCATGTAATCATGAAACTTTAATTTGAATCATTGTCTTGGGCATCCATTACTAAATTAAATATGTGTCTTTTTGTTTCCCGTAAAATATGGGGATTTTTAATTTTGCCTAATTCTGTAGCTATTGTATGTCCAAATGCACATATGTCATTATTTTTTTTCACTGTAGATGCTAATACTTCTGATGCATGTTCTATTACAGACATATAAGTATCTAGAATCCCTGCCATTTTGTTGCACGGAATAGAGCATGTTCTAATTCATGCAATTCAGTTGCCGCGACAGAATTGCATAGTCTGATAAGAAAAATTTCATGGATTCTATCGCGGCAACCAAATCCCTGCAACAAAATTGCATTGTCTGATACAGGCTTAAGGATTATTTTAAGGATGCAGATGGATCGAAGCATGTTTCTAGTTCTTACTTTGATAAAAATAATTCCAAGTAACTGTTGTTGCTAGTACTTTGCTGTGTTAATTAAAGAATACCTAACTAGTGCGTCTAATGTTATAGTGTTTTTTTTACACCACATAACATTTGTTTTAATATGGGAATTTGATTACTTTTTGTTATATAAAAATTAAACACAGTGAGCTTTTAGAATATTTTATTTATTAAAACAATACAATATAATATAAACATTATATTTTGTGATATATTTAACCACATTTGCATATGGTGTGGTAGCCAATTGCTGACACTTTTTCTTATATAAAAATTAATCACAGTGAGCTTTTAAAGTATTTTATTTATTAAAACAATGCAATATAATTCAAACATTATTTTGTGATAGATTTAAATTTTGTTGCTGATATAGGCTGCATCTACATTTTATCAAATGTTCTACCAACCAACGTCGTAAGAAACGATTACAGGCAACTAATTGTTGCTGATACAGGCTGCGTTTACATTTTTTCAAATGTTTTGCCAACCGACGTCATAAGAGACGATGATGGGGAACTAATGGACAGTTGACAAAATCTGTAACAAATTTACCTATATTAGACAAAAACTAGATAATCACAAAAAAATAATTTATTATTTCCGAGATATTAAGGTTTCAATTATTACTTACCCTTGTAAACCATATTAATAAGAAAATATATATTTTCAAGTTAAATAATTAAATGTTGATATAATGATACATTTACTTGTTTAATGCAGGTATATATATCCTGATAGCCTAACCCTTCCACTATAAAAAGTAGGAGGGTAAATAAGATAGAGGGGGGTACCGGAGAAATATGGGTGGGTAAGGTACATATACATATATGAGACTATTTGAACTCAGTTATAACATTAATTTACATTCAAGATGGATCTTCAAAAGTTGAACAAGAATATAAAGAACTGAAGAATATTAAAGATAAATAATAATAATAAATCAAAAGTATAAGTGAAGATGAGGTTTAGTAAAACCAAATTTGGTGACGGTATTGTGGCCAAAACTGAAAATTTTACCTGCTACTTACCAAGAATATTTTACATACATTTATAATAATAATAATTTGAAGACAGCGTCCTTCATACTGATGTTATGGCAATAAAAGAAAAAAAGTTCAAACAAAATAGTGTACCTATCTAAATAATGTATTTTCAATTTAGGTTATACAGGGTGATTCAGTCATAATGTCATTAATTTTAAGAACAGATAGAGAAAAATGAGTATAATACGATGGAGTGATTAAAAAAAAATTAAATGCATATTTAAGCAGAAAAAAAAATTTTCAAATCATTATTTAATCCCCTTTTTAGGCTGTTACTGACCGGCTGACGTTAGTCGCTTATTCAGAATTTGCGCACGGCTACAATATGAACAATGCGCCCTAGATGTAACGTTGCCATATTTATATATTTTCGCACATATAAAGACAATAAATAAACGGTTTGCTCACGTTAGCCAATAATAATTTAAAATGCTATAAATTATTTTTTATAATTATGCAATCAACACATTAAATTGTTATTGTTGCCCAGCAAGAACCTCGAGGAGGTCTGAGCATGCCTTGCCAAAAATCAGTTTTTATTCACATCATAATGTTAATTTTTTAATTTGTTGTAAGCCTTCGGGCAAATGTTCAAATACATTACTGTTACTGTCTATGCACAAGTGTACACGTTGGATAGATGAGCGGCAGATGCGATGGAATAAACCAGGGTTGTTACGTATTTCTTCAGCGGCATCTTCGATACGATTCCGCAACTGCTCTACATTCTTTACCTCGGTGTGATACATGACAGATTTCATATAACCTCATATGTCCATAGGATTATGGGCCTTCATCTCCCTATCCACCGATTGGGACATTGATCGTCTAAAAATCCACGGACATCGTGAGCAAAATGGGCCGGATCTCCGTCGTGCATATACCACATATCCCGTAGCATCTAAAGGGGAAGGTTTTCAAACAATTCTACTAAAAATTGAAAGCAACGCGGCTCATTCAGATGTTCAGGTAGAAAATGCGGCCCAATTAAACGATCGCCATATACTCCTGCCCATACATTGACACCGAACCTCCTCCAAAAGCTAAACCGACGAGTAGTGTGCGGGTTTTCATCTGACCAAATGTGACTATTACGGCTGCAAAGAAATTAGCTCTGTTTCACTTTAAATAAAATTTAATATTGAAGCTACAAAACTCCAAAAGTTCAAGTAATTTAAATTTCATTTCACAACCATTTCAATATCATTACAAAAATAATGACACAAAAAAACAACACTCACTAGATAAATTATAAAGAGAGGGTGAAATGTATGTAGTATTTAAATATAAAGATAAAAACAATCGGACGGAGACAAATAAACAACTCTATCTAGGGTCAATAACCTTTTTATTTGACCCACTTTTAATTTGCACGTGTAAGTGTGCATAATCTAGGAGCCAGATAGGGTGCCGTGGTCAACAGAGTGCCACGGCTGCAAACAACTTATTCGTAGTATTTTGAGCTCCTGAATCCAAAAAACTTGGTCGCAAAGCCTGAAAGTGGTGAGTTTAATTGTTATTAACAAATTAAATGTTTAAACGGCTGTAAAAAGTTTTTATTTTTATAACTAGTAAACGGAACCCTATCTGGCTCCTAGACTAATACGAACTGTAGTAGGATCGCATTCCATGCAAAGTAGAGCAAAAAGTTGTTGGTCTTTTATCAAAGGAAAATCTAATGAATAGGGATGATTGTTTTCCAATGTACAGTTATTACAATTTATCATTGTTAATATTATTAACGTTTTAACGTTTTATATTTTATTATGTTAAATAATACACAGTTTTAGTAATTCAATTTATTATTCAATATGCAGTTGCGTATAACCAAAGTTTATATAATAAATGTAAACTTTAGTGTAAATATAAACTTTGGTGTAACCTAGGTAGGTACTTATTGTTTTTGAGAAAGTAATATGTTTTTTACCTGTTTAAAATGTCAGCACGAGTTAAACAGCGTTCATCTGTCCAGCGCACTTTGTTTTAAAAATAAAAATAAAGTTAGCGTCTGCTGCACTTCGATTTAGCTGCAACTGCAAAATTCAGACGATTGGGGAAATCAGCTGGTTCTAAAGCTTGAACTTTTTGAAAATGGTACGGGTTGAGTGAATTCTCACGCAATATCCGCAAACTTTGGTTTGTGATATCTCCAGTCGCCTTGAAATTGTTCTTGTAGAAATAGTCTCTATCCCATTTAAGTCATTTTGTCGATGTCCTACACGTTCGCTGCGCCGTATGGTATGATAGATGCAGTTGGAAAAATGCGGGAGATATGGACGGTGATAGATTTGAATAAACGCTTTAAATTGTTAATGGTTTTGTAACCGTGTGAATAGATAGGCTATGTTACTATGGAGCCAAAATCCCATGTATTTTCTTATGGAGGTTCATCCTGGTCATTTTTGACCAATTTTACCCCCACTCCTCCAAATTTTCCCTTCCTCCTCCCCTTCCCCGCCAGCCAATCAGAGCGCAGCATTTTTTTGCGGGAAATTCAAAATGTCACCTAGGGCTTTGTCCCACCTAGGGCTTGGCCCCCACCTAGGGCTTTGCCCCCAGGGCCCCCATGCAGGTATCTTCATGTAGGTATGTAGGATTCCCCACGTAGACAAGAGTATTGTGCGTAGGCCTCTCGCGTGTACCCCGCGTAGGTATACCTAAATTGTATAGGGCTTCGCCCGCGACCGCCGGTCCCAAACGTGGTCGAGCGGTGACGTAGACAGTAGTCGCGATTTTCATTTCGCAATAGTAGTTCATAACGCAGCCGAGCGGGTATCCGTAGATGGCGTTGCAAGTGGAGCGCGGAAATGTAATCATAAATGCCCGTATATTTAATTATTACAGACTACGGCTAAAAAATATTTACTGGAATTTACTTTAGGAATGTATGTTAAAATAGAACAGAAAGGGTCAATCCTTCTTCGTCTTAAATTTTCTTATATATTTCTTAAGTTCATATTAAGGCCCAATGATAATTCTTTTAAATAGCAAATTGTATTGAAATATAAATTATTCCGCTTAGGTGTAATAAGAAAACCAAGTTAACAAACGCTAGCACAGCTGCCTTTGCTGTCTCAGCAAAACAGCCTGTAGCATTAAATTCTAAAACAGTCAAACCAGCTATCAAAATTAGTGGTACTTATATTAAACAAATTGACTTAAACGTTTATTATTTAACGAAGAAAAATTCTATTTAAAACGTATTATACAGGGTCTTATTTTAGCAGTTGATAAAAAACAATAGCTACAAGGTCTTTATAAAAACTTACAAATTATTTGACAAGATGGCGACTAAAAAAAATCTAAAGAATTAATTTTTTATATTATTATGTTTATAAATTAAAAGAAGAAAATAAGGAAATAAGAGATAAAATGGAAATAATAGAAAATAAAATAGAATGGCTAGAAAAGGAAAAAAGGAAAAATAATATTGTTTTGACAGGATTAAAAATGCAAACTGAAACACTTAAGAAAGATATGGAAGAGTTATTAGTGAAAGAAATTGAGGTTGAAACACAGATAGAAAACGTTCAAAAATTGGGACAGGAAACATATTTAATAGAATTCGAAAAATTTAAGGACAAAGATAAAGTAATGAAAAGTAAATATAAACTGAGGAATAAATGCAAGAGAATTTACATCAATGAAGATATGACCAAGAAAGAGCAGAAAAAAGAGAAGCAAATAAGAAAGAGGGCAATAGAAGAGAAGAAAAAAGGAAAGAACGTTAAAATTGGGTATAGTAAGATTATAATTGATGGAGAGGAGTGGAGATGGAATAGGGCGAGAGAAACACTAGAGTTAGTGAATCCAAAAAACTAGGAAATGATACTGATCAGAATCCTGACAAGACGGTAAATAAGTTGACGAACAGCCAAGGAAAAGGAAAGAACTCTGAAAAGGGACAAACAAAAGAAATATGGAAAATAGGAACGTGGAATATAAGGAGCATTAATGGAAAGGAAAATGAACTGATGCAAGAGTTTCAAAACGCAGGACTGGATATTTTAACAGTGTCAGAAACAAAGAAAAAGAATAAAGGGGTGATGGAATTAGAAAATGGTCACTTGTTAATATATAGTGGAGTAGAAAATAATAAAAGGACAGCAGCAGGTGTCGGATGCATAATTCATCAAAAATTAGTACAAAGTGTGAGTAAATGGGAAGCACATACGGAGAGAATTTTAACAGTGGAGATAAATAAAAGAGATGGAAAACAAATGACTGTGATATGTGTATATGGGCCAGATGAAGATGAAAAAGCAAAAATTTTGGGAGGAATTAACATTAGTCATTGAAGAAAGTAAAGGAATAGTATATGTGTTAGGAGATTTTAACAGTAGAGTGGGTAAGAAAGATGGAAGATATGACAGTAATAGGTCAATATGGTGAAAATAAAAGAAATAATAATGGAAAGAGAATGCTGGAGTATTGCCTATTAAATAACCTGATTATAACAAACACTTTTTATGAACACAAAGAGATACATAAATACACGCGAGTAGAAGGCAACAGAGGAGTAAAATCATTAATCGATTATGTGTTAACTGAGAAGAATAATAGAAAGCAGATTATGGATACGAGAGTTAAAAGAGGATCAGAAATAAATAGTGATCATTACTTGGTGGTAACTAATATTAAGAATGATAAGAACCCAAAATACGAAATAAACGAGAAAACCGATAAGATGAGACAACATGAAACAATAAAATCATACATGCTAACAAACCCAAAAGTGAGAGAAAAATATGAACAGCTGATAAACGCAGAAACAGACAAAATATTGGCAGACAATGAAAATATTAGCGCGAATCAACTATGGAATATGTTTAAAGAAATAATATTGGAATGTGCCAAGAAGACATGTGGAACAAGTAAAATATTAAACAACAGGAAACAAACAGTGTGGTGGAATGAAGAAATAAAACAACAAGTTCAAAGTAAAAAGAGAAAATGGAAAGTTTACTTAACAAAGAAAACTGAAGAAAGCCTGGAAGAATATAAAAGGCAAAGAAATATTGTTAAAAGCACTATAGCTGCAGCTAAAGAGAAAGCATGGTCGGAATTCGGAACAAAAATGGAAGAAAATTATAAAAGTAATCAAAAATTATTTTATAAAGTACTAAAAACTATGAGAAAAGGGAAAAAGATAGAAACTACTGCAGTAAAAAATGCTCACGGACAGATTTTGACAGACGAAGTGGAAATAATGCAAAGATGGAAAGAATATTTTCAAGAACTACTAGAGGGAGAAGAGATGAGTGATAGACAAGAAGAAACAAACATGAACGAAATAAATGCGAGAGAAAACGAAGTAATAACCATGGAAGAAATGACTCAAGCTTTAAGAAAACTAAAGAATGGAAAGGCGCCAGGTCAAGACAAAATAACATCAGAAATGCTTAAAAATATGGGAGGAAATGGCATGGAAATATTATTGGAAATACTAAACAAAACTTGGAATGAAGAAACGATACCAACAGACTGGGAAATGGGATTGATATTGCCTATATTTAAGAAAGGAGATCAGAAAGATTGTAATAATTATAGAGGAATAATGCTGTTGAGTACTGGAATGAAATTATATGAGCAAATTTTAAATACAAGAGTGAAGAATATAATAGAAATGACAATGACAGAGTCCCAAAGTGGTTTCAGAAAAGGTAGAAGTACGCAGGATCATATATTTACTATTCAGCAAATTATAAATAAGACAAGATTGAAGAGAGGAAATGCCTATATGGCTTTTATAGACTTAGAAAAAGCTTTTGACAAAGTACCGAGAGCAAAGGTGTGGGACATATTAGAGAAGAAAGGAGTAAATAACAAACTGAATAAAGTAATACAGAGCTTATATAGAAATATAACAAATATAGTTATGTATAAAAATATGAAATCGGCAATATTTGAAACAAAGGAAGGACTAAGACAAGGTGGAGGAATGAGCCCTACGTTGTTTACGCTGTTTATGGACCACATAATTAAGAAATGTAATGAAAGAACAAAAACTCTATTTGTAGGATACAGAAACTTGCAAGCAGTAAATATTTCAGAATGTGCATATGCAGATGATGTTGTAATTATGGCTGCAAGTGAGAAAGAGTTACAGAAAAATATAGATATGTGGAAAGAAGTATTAGGAGAAAATGGAATGAAAATAAATGTCAAGAAAACAAAAACAATGGCAATAACAGAAGAACAACAGAAAATAAATATACAGGTAGATGGAGTGAGGTTGGAACAAGTACAATATTTTGATTATCTAGGGGTATTGATAGAAGGATCAGGAAAACAAGACAAAGAAATAGAAAAAAGAATAGAAAATACAATGAAAGTATACCATAGTATAAATAAAAGCTTCATTAACAAGAGGGAAATATCTACAAAAACTAAAATGAATGTGTATCAAGCAGTTTACAAACCAATTTTAACATATGGGTGTGAGACATGGACATTAACGAGACAACATAGAAGTAAAATTCAAGCAACAGAAATGAAGTATCTGAGGAGAGTGAGAGGAGTAACGAAAATGGATAGAATGAGAAGTGAGCAAATAAGAAAAGATTTAGGATTACAATCGGTATTAGAATTCATAGAACAGCGACAGCTGAGCTGGTGGGGGCACTTACAACGAACGAATAATAGCAGACAAGTTAAAAAGATATGGGAAGCTAAAATACAAGCTAAAAGAAGGAGAGGAAGACCAAGGGAAACGTGGGACAGCNTGTAACTGTATGAAAGCGTTATAACGAAACGACAGAACTGTCAAATTCAAAACATAATTTGAGTTTGCACACTCCAGAAATTATGCAAATAAGCTCATGTTCTACAAGTAGTAGCACAGAACGATAAAAAACAATCCCAAAATGCTAATAATTCAATAAAAGTTCTGACATGAGGATATTTGAAAAATATTGTACAATTTTGACAGTACTGTATCGGAAAGAAAAGTTTTTTTTTACATATAGGTTCGAAACATGCTATCAAACCAATAAATAAATAAAATATGAAGTACCTTAATGTAGAATGTATATGTGGAATCAAACTCATACGTTATTAAAAGCAGTTATGTGACGTAATAGTATTGCATGTATAGCTCCGTTACAAGTTTGAAAATTTCTTTGTGTTGAAATGTTCCTGTAGTATAAAATCATGTATATAGTGTGAAAGAGACCCTTGTTAGTCCATTTAAGATAGTAGTACCCAAAGCAAAGGTCAATTTGTTGTTTAGACTATATAAATGTTCGTCGGAACGGGATGTTGAAAACTTTTGTCCATTTCTACCTAAAAAAATGCATAAAGGCTGTGTAAAAAGTGATGTATAGACAGTAATAGGGTTATAGAAAAGACAGGCATGCAGAAATTTAATCCATGCATTAAAATATAAGTGTAATTTGGTAAAATGTGCTACATTGCAATATGAACTACAACATAACCTAGCAAGGTGAAAGTGGTATCAAAATATTCAGGAAAGGAAATAGAATTCAAATATAAACAGTACAAGCAGTCAAATTTTAAGTAAAAGCTAGAATTTCTAAAATAAAATTTTCCAAAATTACAATTTATTGTTGCCATGGCAAAATTCGTTTGTTTTTGTTTTGCTATTTAATCTCTGCGTGGGATTGAGTAGTCCAGTTCATTTTTGGCAGCGAGAGAACTCACATCGATAGTAGTGCTCCTAAAAACAAATGAAACATGTTTATAACAACGAATTAACAAAATATTCAAGTACTTACGTAGTTAGCTGGTGGTGAAACGTCAAAGGCGATGGGGCTGTCATAAATCCGAAAGTGACATCTCTCGAACGTACATAAGTCCGAATACAACAAAAATTAGAAATCAACAAAATTTCGAAATAGTTCAACAACAAATTGATTATTAATATAAGTGATAAATAATAAAGGCTAATACAAATCACTGCAAATAAAAATAAGTGCAGTGAGTGCAAATACGCCGATTCCAGAGGATATGCCGACAACTGTTAGGAGTACGAAAGCAGCTAGAGATCCAGTCTACAAAACGAGGAATGCAGCGCGACTACGACGTGTTGGGAATACAAATTGTCAAAAGTAAGTGTCGACACACAAAAAAGGCTTATCTGTACAAATTTATAAAAAGCGCTATACAAATCATAACGTAAAATTTTCCATAATTTTAAAGAAAGGTACCTAAAATGAAATGTATGAATTTAGTTTTAAGGATTACAACAAAGTGTTCATTGTTAAAAGATAACTTGCTCGATTCATAATATATGACATTAGTAAAATAATTTCCATCTTTCATTTGCATAACAACATATTATGTTGTTTTGTTATAAAACATATTATGTTTTATACCAAAACATAATATACAGTACGAACGAAAGGAACCCACACCCAAGATAAAAATTAAAAATCATAATCATTCTTCTTATTGTAATATAACAACCCTAGGTTCGACAAAAAATAAGTAAACGTAGTTGTGGCCAAAAATATGTGATCGTCATAAGGACTACCTACGTTGTGTGTATTTATTTTTTTATTGACCGGAAGGCGCTGGCTACTAACTTTGTAGAGGGGATGTATGGTTTAATTATATAAAACAAAAGCAGAGTAAATACACCTAACCTTTATTTACATACAATTCAAATTAAACATGTGACAAATAGAAAGAACAACAAAAACATTAACAACCATTAAACATAAAAGGAGAGTGCCAGGCTCACCTAGAGCTCCTGTGGGGAAAGAGCATGGCAGAGAAACCCACGATCGTTGCTCTTACCACCCAAATATAAATACAAAACAACCGCTAACCAA